CAATTTGGCCAGCCAAAACTTGAAAAAAATTTTGGCCATTTTGGCCGCGGCCAATGGCCAAATGGCCAAATGCCAACTCTGCCGTATAGAGTTGGGATTATATGGAGTATCCATTAAACATAGCAAAAGAGTAAAACATAGAAATAGATATCAATTATTATTTAGGCATTACAGTTGCAATGTGTTCACACTTTATCAATAAGAATAATAGCTATCAACCACTTTCATCACATAAAATAATGCAGATCAAGGATTCAGATGTGAGAGAAAAGAAGATTGACAAACACTTCCAAGACGAGGCTGTAAGACAGCTTAAAAAATATATAAAAACTTTACAATAAACTTTCTAAGTATTCTTAGTGGAATGTGGCAATTTCAGCTAAGAAAATTTAGTTATTAAGATGCTTTGCATAATATTTATTTACATATTTACATATTTTTTTCGTGTAATAATACCAGCTAACTTTAATTCATATATTCGATCTTCTAGCCTCTGATCATATAGCCTGACCTCAGAAATATTCAGAGATGATAAAAAATAGTTCTGGTTAGAGTTATTACATTTTTCTTTTGGCTTATCGCTCCATAAATCACATATTTTTTTTCCAACGATCCATATAATTGCAAGAAATAGTAAAGTAAGTATGGTATATGTTATCAATGATGACATTAAGAAGTTCACAACAACAGGGATAGTTAGTACTAGAGGCATTACTTGGGTTGATGACATTACTTTTGCACTACTTAATTGCTTCACAACCCTTCACTCGAAATATACTTTTCAGAATGTGCTAGTTGACTATGAACAGATTGATTGGGTAGGATATCTGTCTGACTTCTCAAAACTATCTTATCTGGAAGTAATAGCTCTTGCAAAGCCTCTTATATATTTTTCCTAGCAAAACTTTTATCAAATTCCATAACCTTATCTTTAAGGCTAAGCTTATAGACGAGTGATCTTAAATCATCATTAAGTCAACCTGGTAGCTTTTGTGGTAAATCGTTCATAGATAGGAGTGGATCTACTACATTATCTTTCTTTAATACTAACTCTCGAAGATAAGAATTTTCCTCTATTAAATTTAATTGTGCTGAAGACAAAACATTTATTTTCCAACTGGTTATTTCATGTATCATTTCTATCCCTTTTTCCATACATATTATTGTATATTCTTTTGAATTACAGTCATCCTTTACTTGCTTCAGTTCAAGCCTAAAAGAATCGATCTCTTTGGGATTATCTGTTTCAGATGAGTTTATTTGAGCTGGCTCCTCTAGTAGTCCTCCTACTATATTCAAATCACATTCTAGTTCTAGATCTAGCAACTTACCTTCCAATTCAACTAGCTTTCTGTACTAAAGTTGCCTTTCTCTTTAGTGTTTTAATATTGGATTTGAGCGATTTAATTTTAGCAGAATATTTGGTTTCAAGCTCAATACGGAACATCCGTTCATAAGTAATTTGGAATGTAAGCTTAGTATTTGCATTATTTAGCTGGCTAACCTTATTTTCAATATCAGCATAGATTTGATTGAACTTCTTTTCTTATCTATCATACTTATCTACTAGCTTTTCAGTGAGATCATTAATCTCAGAGTTAAATTTGGTAACAGATCTTAATTTTTTTTCAAGTTCTTACTCATATGCACTAACCAACTGATATTCTTTATCTTTTTTATCTTTCAGTATATGCATATTGGATATAATATTAGCATGGTTATATAGCAGAAAAAAAATATGTTGCAATTTTTTGAAACTGCATAGTCCCAGAAATTTCAGAAGCACTTTATTTTTCCATAAATACTATGCATATTGATATATATTGGTATGCATTGAAAACATATTAATATACATTAAAGAGTATTAATACACATTGGTAGGCATTGAAATATATTAATATACATTAAAAAGTATTGATATATACATATTGACACACATTGATATTTATTAAAAAGTATTAATATTTTTTCTAGTATAAAATCAAATAAAGATAGTAGCTTGTTTCTATGATACATATTATAATGTTAAGGTAACCCTGTAATTAAAAGCTGATATTAAGGAAATTAGAGAATGATAATAAAGAATGCCTCCAGCAAGGAGTTATTTCATTTTCCTCCGATTAGCTTGTTTTGGATGAGAATTTTCAAACTAATAAGATAGAACAGAATGAGTCAGATATATATAGCCAAAATACATCCCCTTCACAGAACTGGAAAAAAAGATACGTAATATTGAGGTTGAGTCTAGTATATCTATCGATTTAGCTTCAGAAGGAAGTATTATTTTAGGCAGTAAGGCAAAAATGACTGGAGGGACTAAGCTGAAAGAAAAATCCAGGTCTAAATAGGTTTGTATTTCTGAACCACCCATTACTCAGATATATCCTTTAGGATCAATTCAACCAATCTCTATGAATTTAGAAAGTTCAGATATAAATAAAGAGGAATTTTATGCATTATATGAGAAAGTGGAAGAAAGGAGCATAAAAAATATAGCGAATCTGAAAAATATATTAGAAAAATAACTTACTTATTTCCATTTTTTCTCATATTCATTCAAAAATGATAACCTATCAAGGTACACTATAAGTCAGTGTTGGGAAATTAGACAATTTTAGGTAGTTTTGGATAGGTTTTGAACATAATTTCATATGTCCAAAACCTTGTCTAAAACTAAAAAACGTGTCCAAAACCTATCACTGCTATAAGTATAAGTTATTAGGGTAGACTATCTCCTGCAGTGCTGAAGGTACAAAAGAGGAATCAATAAAGGGGAGTTTACCATAGCGTATCTGTAATTTTTCACAATACTTATTGATTTCTGCATTATACTTAAGAGTGCTATATAGCATTTTTTCGAGCTCCTCATAACTCACTTTTTTTAATGCATTATCTTCACTTAAGTCCTGCAAGCCTTGCAAAATTCTATCTGAAGTCGAGGAATCATCACATTCAGAAGTAATATTCGCATAATTCACCTCAAGCTTATTCTTGATCTTATGCATATTGATCAGAATAAAAAATTCATTACCATTACATTCTAGTCTCAATTCTCATTTTAGTATAAGTAAATCATAATTATATTTATCAAGAAGTATACTGGATAAGATCAGCATTGGTTTAGGATACTTAACTACAGCAAAATTAGCATATATAGTTAGAGTTGGTAAAAGTCCTAATAGGTCCTAATTGGTCTTAAAGAATTTAAAAATAATTTTAATTTATATACTATTAATTAAATTTTTAATAATAAATTAATCTTTTTAATAATTATTATATATCAATTA